CGAAATTCCCCTCAAGCAACACCCTCTCGACCAACTTCGTTTGCTTGTGAGCATTTTACGTTTAATGGCAATTGCTCTCGTATGTAGGCCCACGGGCGTTCAATTTTGTTGTGTTTCTGTTGCTACAAAACTCCGTTCGTTTGGTCGGTTGCGGGGCCCTTTGGAGCCTTAAGGTCCCGTTGGCATGGTCCGTGGGGCATGGTCCCGCGTCTCCAGTCATCCTCTGCACCCGTTTCCAGCCCGAGCAGCTTAAGAGATGGGGCCCGCCAAGAAAACAGGGCCATCAATTCAAATGAGAAATACTCACGACACGATGCGTACGGCTCCGAACGATCGAGTGTGTCCGAACAGGTTGACATATAGGGCCCCCGAGCGCAGGACCCCCCCCCCCCCTCTATTCAAATGGGAAGTACCCAAGACCCATTGTAGATGGCCCCCGAATGATCGAGTGTGCAGGAACAGGTTAACAAATAGGGCTCCCAACAAGAACGTAATGCACCCAAGATCCAATGTAGAGGGCCCCCAAAGGACCGAGTGTGCCAGAGCAGGTTGACATATAGAGTCCCCGTCGAGAGCTAGGGCGTTCCATTTAAATAGGAAGTACCTAAGACCCAATGCAGTGGGCCTCCGAATGGTCCCAGTGTGCCCGAGCAGATCATCAGATGGCCCCGACAGGGCCCACGAACACCCCTTGTGGCCGAGTAGGCGAACAGATCGGTTCGCGACAAGTGCGTGGGGCGCTCCATTCAGATAGGAAGTACCAAGGACACAATGTGAAGGGCCCCGAATAATCAAGTGCGTCCGAGTAAGTTTACAGATGGGCTCCCGATAAGAGCTTAGGGCCTTCTGTTCAAACATGAAATACTTACGACATACGTAGAGGGCCCCGAATAATCGAGTGCGCCAGAACAGGTTCACAGATAGGGCCTCGCAAAGAGCGGAGGGGCCTCCATTGAAATAGGAAGTACCTATATCCAGATGTAGAGGTCCCCCGACGGTCGAATGAGCCTGAGCATCTTGTCAGAAGGGGCCCGACAAAAGCGTAAGCCCCGCCATTCAAATAAGAAGTATCCAAAGTCCAGTGCGGTGGGCTCCTGAAAGATGGAGTGTACCCGAGCAGATTATCAGATGACTCCGATAGAAGCGCAGGGTCCTAAATTCAAACACCAAGACCCGATGTGCAGCCCCCTCCCCGAACAATCCAGTATGGCCGAGGAAGTGAACAGAGGGGGCCACCGGCAAGTGCGTAGGGCCCCCATTCAAATAGGACGTGCCCAAGACCCAACGAAGAGGGCCCCCAAACGATCGAATGTGCCTGACCAAGTTTTTAGATAAGACCCCCCTCGCAAGAGTGTAGGTCCCTCCCATTCAGATAAGAGGTACCCAAGACCCAGTGCATATAAGTCCTCACATCCCATGCTGTACTACACAGAGCCTTTCTGGCGAATGGAAAGAACTCGTGGAACAGTGTGGAGGGGTCCCCGAACGACCGAGTGTGCCCAAGCAGGCTATCAGATGGGCCCCAGACTAGAACGTAGGGCCTTAAGCAAGTGACAGAGAATTGAAAACGCCCGAAACCAATGCAGAGGGTTACTGAGCACATCACGAGTGTGTTCGTAGTTTAACCGAGACCCACGTAAAGGACTCCTGAGCAATCGAGCGTGTTCCGGCAAGTTAAGATATGGGGCCCCGGCTGTAGTACACAGAGCCTTTCTGGCGAATGGAAAGAACCCGTGGAAGGGCCTTTGAATGACAGGAGTGCCCTGGCACGCAAGCGGGAAGGGCCCAGCAACAGCGCAGGGCCCTCCGAGCAAATGCAAAGAAATCAAAGGCAGCATGGAAGGCTCCTTAGCGATCGGAATGACCCTGCGCGTGGGCATATAAGTCCTCAGAAACAGCAAAGGGCCACTAGACCATGCAGTCAGGCTTAGAATTTCTAATTCACAACTTTTTCAATCATTGAGGATCTTTCTTTACTTCTCGTGGACCTTTCACCTTTGCTTGGAACTGTTCGTGGTCGCTTGAAAATCCAGAAATGTTCGAATTTGTCGCGTTTTTTTTTGTTTTAATTTAAAAACTGCACCTTTACGGCCGGCTATGGGCCCCTTTGGAGTCAATGAGCATCTTCGGGGCCCGAGGGGGTCATGGCCCCATACCCCCTCTGAATGCGCCCCTGTATATATATATACTGACCATATCACGCGATAATTGACCGCATGAAATAAACCGCCGGCGCTCTTCGTTTTATAATGGTTAAGTGGACTCTTTTTAAGCCGATAGAGCTCAGAAACTTCGTCAGGATTTCTATCTGGGTTCTCCAGAAGTAGCAAGGACTCTGCGAACGTAGATTGAAGATCAAAATCGGCCAACAAGTTGCATTAACGTCGCCAGGTCATGCTTCATGCTTGTCTAGATATCTGCAATATTCAGTCAGAATTGATCAGTGTTACAAATTAGTAACGCAGTTTTTAGCATGTGCGCTTGCATATCTTAGAAACAAAAAAAAACTCGACGTCAGGCGTTGCAGTCTTCTTAGGTCGCGCAGCGCCAGTTTCGTGGCTTACACTAGGCCGTGGCCAACAGTTGGACGAAAATAGCGACGCATATGAAAGAAGTACTTTTGAACGTTTTTGGACACCAAAACGTATGTTTAGAGATATTCCGGGGCTACATTTCATCTGTGCCGTTTTTAGATTGATGACAATAACGTACTGGTCTTTACGGCACCGTGAAGTGATGCTGGAATCTGGTTGTGGAATTGCTAGAGTAAAGGTAAAATTTATATTTTTCTGTGTTGCTTTAACTGTTAATTCGTCCAGAGAACATCTCCAAAGCTGTAAAAATATTCGCCTAGCGTTATCTTTGAACTGTACAAATAAATTTTGAAAAACATTTAGAAACATGATTTTACTATGTAGTAAAATCTATATCGTAAAAAGCAATGACCATGTATGGTTATTGTTGCGCGTTCGGCACCCGCCCCTAGCGTTATTTGCGGTAGCCAACGCCGTTCGGTTTTGCGAAAACTGCAACCTAACCCACCGCTATCTTTGCCCACCGAGATTACGGCCGGGTTATCTGGGCTTCATTCAGCTGCTGGGGCTAGTTGACGTCGCCAGCCTGTCGCCCCGACCAACGCAAGAGACCCTCAGCCATTCGGGCTCCCGTCCCTATCTTATCCACAAATCTTTCTCTGACCGACGCGAGGCCCCTTGTTGACAGAGAATGCGCTGTTATGCACTGGATGCCCCTAAACGATACAGGGGCCCGACCAATGTTGATCTCGGGCCTGGCCTTGTCCTGGTTTGGGAAATGGGCCCCTAGCGCTCAGACGAACACGGTGCTGACTGTTCGTTGTTTGTGATCTCTGACCGAAATATAGGAGCGCTCTGTTTCAGGGGTCCCTATCTGGGTCTGGGTTGGGGTCTTTAATGTGACCTACAGCCAGCCCTTCGGACCCTTCAGCCATCCCAACGGGCCCTTGATCATTGGTCTCGAGAAACCCTTTGACGCCTCTTTGAGCCCCCTCAAACACCGCTCCAACTCGGGGTCGCTTACCGCCACAGGGCCCCTATCCGACACTGTGGCCCCTAATCGACACAGGAGCCCCTCATCGTGGCAGAAACCCCGAACATTGCAAATTGCGTACCCTGGCCTCGTTTCTGCTTAGGAAATGGGTTTTAAGGGCTCAAATGGATATTGAGCCGACTGTGCGGTGCTCGTGGTCTCTGAATGACTTAGACACCCGCATTGTCTCAGGATTTCCTAAAACGGTGCAAGAGGACCTGCGACTGATATTTCACGTAACGACCCTACGGGCCGTGATTCTTTATGTGGCCTACAGCCAGTCCTTCGCACCCTCATGCCCCCCAGCATGTCTTTGACAGTCGGCTCCGGTGGGCCGACCGGGCCCCTCTTCACCGTCCCCAATTATTGACGACCGTGTACGAAGAATACCACCCAATCAAGGCTCGTACGCAGTGTGCCCGTTGTGCTACCCAGTGCTGCCCGCTATCCTCCGTGTGTATTCTCGTGTATCCTACTACGAAGCATTGCTGCCATATACACAGATCCTCCGGGCCGCTTTGGACCGCGGGTAGCTGGGGGCAGGGTGGTGTTGCGAGTGGGGGCACGGCGGTAACTATTTTCACTTTTCTATGAATTTTAGTTGTAATTTCTCTTGTCTCGCGCTCGCTGTTGGGTCTTGGTAGTACCTATCCAATTTACCTTCGCGCTCACCGGTCCGTTTTTTTACATTTTACGACGATCCCGTTTCCAAGGATGTACTTTGAACTGCATTCTGAGTCCCCTAGTGTTATTCGGCCGTCGCACACCGAATAACCATATAACACCAGTTTCATTTGTTGTGTCGCATCGTTGTATGCCCAAACTACAACTCTGTAGCCTGTGTTTACAGGATTAAGTTTTTGAGCAAGTAAACTCAGGCTGGTATGCAATCTACCAGCAAGGCCTACAATAGCATGACTTACTCCATCCTAAAAGCTGTTCTGAATTACATGCTGGCCTTGTCCTTGTCTGAAATACTGTTTGGATCTGTGACATTTCTTGAAGCACAGTATGTTAATGGTTCCTGATATTGGAACTTGAAGCACAGTATGTTTCATGGTTCCTGATATTTTCTGTTGATTTGTGATATTGTATTTTATAGATTCCATAGTTTTAAAACTGAATTCAACTGTGTTGATATCATTGTGTGGTAAAACATGGTTTTTGGCTGTTTTGTTCCAAACTTGTGATAATAGTATTACCTATTTTTATCAATATGATAATAAGGTCCAATGCATAACCCTTTCTCAAAATCTGATAAAACAACAGTTCATGCCTAAATGGTCAACTAGTCACAATGTTGGTCAGGATTCAAAGATTGATGATGTGGAAGTCTTCTCCTATGATTTTTCTGAGAATAGATACATAGTATAGAATACACATAGAAAAGAAACATAGTCCATGGCATTAAGTGACCACAGGGATGATGTCTCATGATGGCATGCATGCTGTTGATAGTCATATGCACATAACATTGTGTATATGCATGGTTTCTGCTAGACAGCTAGAAAGCTAGAATTAGATAGGAAAGAATGCTAAAATTGTGTTTTGTGATAAGCTCAGAGTCAGATCAAAAGGCAGGGGAGAGGCAGCCAGGTCATGCCATCCCAGGGTCGTCCAAGTTAGGCAGCTTATAACCATTTTTGAAATGTGAAGAAATGTAAAGCAAATTTAGTAAAGAAAAATTTGCTTGAGAGCATTTATTGGTAATAATGAAACCAAATGTAATGTATTGTTGATTATTTCATTTCATATTTTCATAGCACTGCTTATGGCTGCTGCATGACATGCTCTCATGATGTGATGACTGGCACAGCACCCCTTTGCACATGCCTAAGAAATGTGACAGAGTTGCAGTCTTCAATGCAAAACAGTTGTTTTGGCATTTAGGTGCATGAAATATGCAGCTTTGCAGAATATGTTTGTACCTCATCCTCACTTCCTCAAATCTGAGTGCATCAGTAACAGATATTGTGAAGCAATCACCTGCCAATAGTGCTTGTGGTTAAGTTGTTGGTGTACAAATGACAACATCAGCCCAGGGAGTATCAGGCTATTTGGGGTCATATTTACTCCCACATATAATATAAGGGCAATTCATTGCACAACCATGTGGTAAAGCACTGGTGTCAGCTGTGTCAAAGTCACTTTACGCTGGTGGAGGGCTAGATCTGCTATTCAGAGGAAAAAAAGGCTCAAGTCCTGTCATATGAATTGTTCAGGAGAAGTATTTCAGCAAATGCCAGATGCTGATGTGCTTCATATAGGTAACTTATTTCCAGGCTATGGATGATGACCTAGCTGACTTGTCATTTCTGAGCTCAAATCGGCTGGAGCTTCCAGCAAGCTTGAGTGACTTGGAAGATGTGATGCAAGTGGGCCAACAGGTGAGTGCAGGATAGGGGGGGGGGGGGGGGGGGTGTGAGCAGTCATCTAAGTATTGAGCAGTCCATATAGTCATCTTAAAAATGATGGTGATTAAATTTATGCAAGATGTAACCTTTTGCACTGGGATGTGAGGTATCTCTTCCAATAGATATTTACCCCAGAAGTTATACTTTTATGTTATTCTAATATTAACCAAGTTGTCCTTTTGATGAGAAAATATATCCAGACTGGAAAGAAAGTTCATGATTTGGTATGAGCTGTTATATCCTAATAGGGATAGGAACATGATTGGTGACTTAAATTTGTAAAGAACATGACACAGCAGTACAACCATTTGTGATCAGTACAGAGCTCAGCTAATATGCCTGGCCATAATATCTCTCCTGCCATGGTTAGTATGAGTGGCCGAGCTGCCAGTGGCTCCTAACAACCCAATGCTCCATCCACAGCTGGAGTGTGTGGAGAGCAGCTGGCTGACCTCGGCCGGCGCCTCAAGCCCTGACCAGGTGTCAGCGTCCTTGAACGGCACGGCGCGGCCGGACGTGGCGGCCGCGGCCTTCCCCGTGGCGCCGCCGGGATCGGCCCACTGTCGCACCGTCTCCGTCTGCTCTCGACCGTCGTCCAGCGCCGACCAGACGGCGCCGGGCTCTCCCCAGCACGGCCGGCCACCGGCGGGCTCGGGGCAGACGGCTCCGACAGCGGCTCCCCGCCAGACACAAGCTCGGGGTCAAATGACAGCAACTCCGGGTCAGGCGTCTGCGGTTCCCGGCCAGATGCCAGCGGTTCCCGGTCAGGCAACAGCTGCTCCTGGTCAGACAACAGTTGCCCCCGGCCAGACAACAGTTGCTCCCGGTCAGACGACAGTTGGGCCTGGTCAGACAACAGTCGTTGCCGGTCAGAGGACCGTTGCCGGCACAATAACAGCAACTCCTGGCCAAATACCGACGGCTCCTGGTCAGAATATGACCTCCATGCTGGGCAGGGCGGCCTGGGCGGCGGGTCAGGTGAGGCCTGTTGGCCTGCAGACGGCGTCGGCTGCCGCGCCGCCGGTCCGCCCGATGGCCCCTGGTCGCTCTGGGACGGTGACCCTGGGCAGCTCTGCCCAGACGGCTCAGCGCGCCCGGCCCTCCAAGGTGGTCATCGTCAAGCCAAAGGTTGGTAGGCGCCGCGGCAGCTGCGGGCGCCCGCCGCGCTCGTCAACGCCGACGAGGCCGGGCTCGTGCCAAGGTCAGCTTAAATGGGCTGTCATAGTTCAGATGGACGTGGCTGAGAAATGCGTTAAGTTACTGATTTGTCAGGATTTTCATTGAAGGTTACCATGTGCCCAGGTGACATGGCAGTGCACGACCATACGTCAGCAAGCACCTGCCAACATGTCAGACTGCCAGGGAACTTAAATTGGCTGCGACCCTAAATGTAAAGCTATTCGCTTACTGTGTGTTGATCACTTCCTCCTGCCTGCTCGAACTTCGCGTATTGTCACTGAGACTTAAGTACGTTGCCACGAGTGTTGGCAGGGAACTGAATATCTGGTCTCGAAGACATTTAAAACGCGCGTTATCCACAGGCCCGCCCATTACTTATGAGTACGTTTGTGAGTTACGATTACGGTAACTATTTGATTTGCATTGTTTATTTATTGATTGGTTGGGATAGTCCGATTACCTCCTGGACCAGATGCGTCGCTATCGTTGAAACATGCCTGCGTTGTCCTGTACACGTTTATCTCCAACGTGCCGAGGCAAACAAATTACGCGTCTGTTTCAGCCATTGGCACCCGCTCTGGAACCTGGAAATAAGATCGTGGCCAAGAAAGTGATCGTGGTCGGCTCCAAGTAAGTTAATTTGTTATACATTCCCTGTCTGAAAGGTGCGGGGTGCTGGATATGGAATGTTTCTGAAGTTGCTGCCCTTGTTTTGCTTAGTAAATGCCCTTGTAGGCCCAGTAAATGGCCTCTGATAACGTTTTGAAAGTTGCGCCAAGAGGTCAGATTAGTGGCGTGACGACGTGTCACATTGAGTAGTCATTTCATCTTGTGATTAGGCATCCGGCACCAATCCGGCGCATGCTCAATGGTCTGATTTATCATTAACTGTTTTCTGGAAGCAGGACATGCGGAGCATTTGTCTTCTCTGCTCCACCCGTCTTATTCGTGTGCAACGTCATCGCGTCCACGTGGTGTGTACGCGCGCTCCTCGCCACGCCACGTTAGACCGTTCCGTGCGTGGGCTAACAATAATTTTGACATGCGGCCGGTAGTCCCTGCTTGGATTTGATGTCCCTATCACCCCCGCAGAGCTAATACCAAACTCAGGCGTAATTTACGCAGGAGATTGCAACGCCAAAATGCGATTTCGGCCGTCAGCTGTTGCGCCATCAAAAATCGCAAAAACTCGGCGTTAAATTGCATTCCAAAAACGTAAGATTTTGTGTAGGTGATCGGTGCACCAAATTCGACCAGGAATTACCGAGCACATGTCAAGATTGCTCCCTCCCCCCCCCCCCCCCCCCGTAAGGCACGGTATACGCCGCACCGGGCGTGGCGTATTGGCGCGTGCGCTTCAGCTCCTGTGAGGCCGTGACCGCCTGACTATGGTACTCACCGGTCATTGTGCCTCAGGAGGGCGGTGACTAGGACCGATGGACCTCTGCCCGTCATCTCCACACCGCGGCTGACGCCCTCCCGCTCGGCTGTGCCGGCGCTGCGCGGCGCGGCGCCTCCACCGCCGCCCCCGCCGCCGACCCCGCCGCCGCCGCCTCCGCCACCGCCGCCCCCGCCTCCGACGCCGCCACTGCCGCCACCACCTCCGCCGCATCCGTCGCCGCTCAGCGCCCTGCCGCCGACCGCCGTCGTGCAGAAGCTGAGCCTCGCTGGCGTGCGCGCCCAGGTCAAGCTGGTCGACGGCAAGGAGCGGATCGTGCTTTTCAGGAAGCCGGGCGAGCCGGTGACGGCGACACCGGCCGGGCCGGGCGAGGCGCCGCCGTCGGCGGCCCCGCGCCGCATCCTGCCGGCAGTGGTGCGGGCGCCGTCCCCCGTCGCCGCCGCCGCCACCGTTGCCGCTGCGCCGCCGCCGCCCGCCGCTGCGCCGCCACCCACCGTCCGGCCGCCACCTGCTGCTCGGCCGCCGCCACAGCCGCCTCGCGCTAAAGTCATCAACGTGCGCATCGCCAACGGTAGCGTGGTGTCGAGCGGGGCGCTGGAGCCGCTCGACTGTCCGGCGGCGGTGCGTGTGCTGCAGCCGCGGCTGGAACCGGCCGCCGGCGGGCTGAGCGTGCCGCTGCACACTGTGCGCCCGCCACCTCCGGCCAGCGAGACGGCCGTGGAGGTGTGCGACGCGCCCGCCTGGACGGAGGGCGAGGCGGCGGCGGTGGCGGCGCCGGCGCCCAGCTCCAGCGTCGACCGGGCGCTGCAGGCGGCCGTCAGCGCCATCTTCGACTCGGTGGACGACGAGGCCGAGTCGCGCTCGTCGGCCGAGCGCACCATCGACAGCCTGGTGCAGCAGGTGGAGAGCGACGCGGCGGCGCCGGCCGATCCGGACGCCACCGGCGCCGACTCGCCCCTGCTCGCCGGCATCCTACGCGGTGCGCCCGCCGGCGACTCTGACGCGGACCAGACAGCGCCGCCGTCCCGAGAGGAGCCGCTGCCGCTTTCGCCACAGTCGCAGCCGCAACCGCAGCCGACGGGCGCTGATGAGCCCGCGGAGCAGGCAGCGAGCGAGGACGGCTCGCTGGCGACTGCAGCGGCTGTCGGAGCGGCGCCGGAGGACGCGACCCCGCCGCAGCCGACCGAGGGTCGGCGCCGGCGGCGCAAGGACGTGCTGCGGCCGCTGCTGCGCGCCGCCGAGTCGGCGCCGGCGTCGCCGCCCGCTGCCGAGCCGTGCGCGGCGCCACCGGCGGCACCGGCACCGGCACCGGCGCCGGCGCGCTCGCCCAGCATCAGCCCCGAGAGGAAGACGATCTCCACCGTTGCGCAGCTGGAGGAGCTGGTGCAGGATCTCTGCACGCACGACGGCCTCATGTGGAACCGGGCCGGCTTCGCTGACCTCGTCCGCCTCAAGTCATCCGGTTTGAATGAGACGCAGGTGCGAGAGCTGACCTTGGATTGACCCCGGGCTTCAGCTGGCTATGGAGAGCTTGGGTAGCATGGTCTTTGAGTGGTGGTGTCTGTGGTGTTATACCCTTGGAACCAGAAGCGGTCAGGCCGATGTTACCTTTTTATAATTGTAGTATAATTGCGAACAGCATTTTATTTTTACTACCTCCGAGGAGACGGCGCGAGGATGCGCTCCCGACCGGCGTGAGCGGTCGTCTTCCGTTGACCCGAGAGTTTCAGGCACCCGCACTGTCGATGCGCCTCACGTGTGGCTAACTGGCGGCCGCCCTGCTGTGCAGCTGTACCTGAGCGAGCTCGGTGTGGTGGAGGTGGCGGACACGGAGGCCGAGGGCGGGTTGGCGCCGGGCCAGGCGGCTCCGGGGGCCGTCCCCGCCGTCCCGGGCCGTCGTCAGCCCGGCGCTCTCTGCTGCTGCTCCAACTGCGGCTGCTTCGGCGAGCCGGCCGACTTCTACGCCGACGGCGCCTTCTGTGGCAAGGTGAGGCCAGCGAGGCGGCACACACGGGTCACAGGTGGGCGGGGACAAGCACGGCCACCTGCGCAGCAAGGTGTCGGTCGCAGCGATAGCAGCAAAGCAGATTCCTGAAAGCACCTCATGGCTGAAGCACGCTCCAGTATGGTGCTTGCGTGTAAGGTGTTATGATGCATGCTTGTCCATGATGATGTGTATGCATGTTTTGTGAACCAAATTGACCACTAAGCACACCTTGTTTTTGTCGAATTATCCCAGACTGTTTAAAGCGTCCTGTACACCTCACACAGGATCGCGGAACCTGTTATCACGTAGACTATTCACCCATAACGTGCCTCCTAAACCTCTTCTCAAGCTACACTAGATCTATTGAGATTTCTCTTATTTGGACAAGTGCCTTGAAGTTATGATGCGTAAAAGCTATCGATTGAACATTAAAAACCAGTAGCTATGGATTGGTTACCCCGTAACTAACGATGTGAAATGCCTCTCCATTGTGCTTTGGAACATATATCCGGCTGCGCTTTTTCCCCTTTGCGGCCTTTTCCCCTCTCCCCTAACCTTTAGTTTCACTATGTTTGCATTACCAACATTCTGGCCTGACTCTGGCCTCTTTTCCAGGTTTGTCATGACGTTGCGGCGGGCCGCGCTGCAATAAAGAAAAAAAGAGCCGAGCTTGCCGATAAAAAGAAAAGGAAATTGGCAGACGTTGAGGAAGAAGACGAAAAAGATGTGAAACCATGGAAAAAGCTCCATGAGGTATGCTTGCTCACACACACACACACAAGCACACACACACACCGCACGCACGCACGCACGCACGCACGCACGCACGCACGCACGCACGCCGTAGATGTAAGTCGAGATACCCAGGTATTGCATTGTTACAGTTGTACCAACGTTCACGTTTCGTTTTTTTCTTGCTATCTTCTGTATTTCTATCTCCCCTCCGCCTCCCTCTCCTCTCTCCTCTCCTCTGCTCTCCTCGCCTCTCCTTCCACCTCTCTCCTCCGCCCCAGCTTTCCTCCCATTCCCTTCACTCTCCCTCCGGTCTCTCGCTAAAAATGGCAACATGCTTGTCACGGATGTGTCATTTATCAACACACCACCAAGTTTGCTGGGATCACCATCAGTCAGTGGCTTGCTGGCGTTGGCCGCTGGCCGCTGGCCGCTGGCCGCTGGTCGCTGGCCGCTCGCTGTGTGTGTGGTGCAGCGGTGCAGCGATGTCGTACCGTCTCCCAGTACCCGGCTCAGTGGGCGCCTCTGTGACGAGCTCCCGCGCCGCCCCTCAGGACAGCCCGCCGCTGGTGTACGGCGGCGGCAGCTTCTCCTGGTCCCGGTACCTGAGGGCGCTCAGCCGGAGCGTGCCGGCGGCGCGCGCCGCGCCAGAGCTGGGGCCGGAGCTGCCAGAAGCGGCCCGCTTCCTGCCGGGCCAGCGGCTGGAGGCGGTCGACCCGGCGCGGCCGGAACTCATCTGCGCCTGCACGGTGGCCGAGGTGGTCGGTGAGTGATGACCTGCGCCTCGTGCGGCGGCCCTCCGGCGGTGGCAGGGCCAGCCGCTGGCGCAGCCGGTCCGCGGTGCGCCATGTCGTCGATCCCTGGCGGGGTCTGTGGCGGACCCTGCAAGACCAATTGGCCGGGGAGGGATTGTCATCAGCTGCACTTGAGCAAGTGCCGACCATCTGAGATACCGGCCCACGACACATAGGCGGATGAATTACCGTACTTGTCATGCTTTGGAATTTGACGATGACGCGTGTGGCGAAATTTTGACACAAGTGTAATGCCACCGACATGGGTGCCTGAGATTCTTCTGCCTGCATGCCTGGCTGATATTGTCATTAGGTGGCGGTGTCTCCAGGACAGAGACTATAATATCAATCAACACAAGCCTGATAACCCACTCACCCGCCGGTGCGCTTCAACAGCGACTCTGTAACGTCACCTGCACGGCGGTGATAAGCTCTCCGTGACGCCACCCCGTCCCGATCGGCGCACGTGGCGTCACGCCTCTGACGTCACGACGCCATGTCCGCCAGGGAGCCGGCTGCGGGTGCACTTTGACGGGTACAGCGTGCGCTTCGACTTTTGGACGGATGCGTCGTCTCGGCTGGTGTTCCCGTGCGGCTGGACGGAGCGGCACTGGGCGCCCGCCTGCAGCGTGCGGCCACCGCGCGGCCACGTCGGCCCCTTCAGCTGGCCGGCGTACCTGCGCCAGCAGGGCGCCCAGGCTGCGCCCGACCGCTGCTTCTCCGGTCTCGACGATCTCGAGTCACCCTTCAAGCGGGTACGTGGCGTGAGGGTCAGCCCGCCGCCGCCGCCGCCGCCGCTGGGTGGCTCCGGTGTGCGGGGCAGCGGAAGGGCGGGAGAGCGGGAGGTGGTGCCGATACAGACGGCAGCTCCTCTGGCGCCGCCTCGCTCGCGGCTGTTGCCGACGTTGGGAGCATGTAGCCCCTCAAGTGTCGTCTATTTATTGTCTCCCTTAACAAATACCTATTTTGTGGCCACTTTTTAAATGAATGCGAACCCCGCAAATGCAAATGTGCACGAGAATGCTGCATTGCTCATCCATAAAGCCATTGTGACCTCAAGCACGCGTGAAGCATGGCCGGCACATAGGATTCACTTGTACCTCAGCTCGATTTAATAATTCGACGTGTGGTTTGTCGACCCGTTTTCTTCATATTCGCGTCATCCTCGGCCTGCGGTTACCTTCCCGCCCCCCCCCCCCCCCCCCCAGCCCATCACCCACGTGTCCGGCGCTCCGCAACATCACTAGTTGGTCTCGGCGTTCCCCGCCAGGTGTCGTCGGACCTGCACGTGGGCCACCGGCTGGAGGCGGCGGACGTGTCAGAGCCGCGCCACATGCGGCCGGCGCGCGTGGCGCAGGTGCGCGCCTTCCAATTCCTGGTGGAGTTCGACGGCGCGGCGGCGCCGCCCGGCTTCTGGGCCGAGTTAGACTCGCCGCGCGTGCGGCCGGTGGCCTGGGGCGAGGAGCACGGCCTGCCCGTGCTGCCAGCCGACGGTGGGTACCGCCGGACCGTGCTGGCGGCGCGCGGCCTCTGCGCCAGGTGGCCATCTGCGGTGGGGGGGGGGGGGGGGGGGCGCCGGACAACGCCAGCACGGCTCTGTGGGAGCCGTGCTGGACTGCAGCCTGAAACGGCGCTGTTGTTGATGGCATTCATTGGCAGCTGGCTTAGAGCGCCGGGCGACCAGGGTGGGCCCGTGTTGACTCGGTTAAGTTCTTTAATGCAATTTGGTGAAATGACTGAGGCAAAAAGCCCAGGTGAAATCTCTGTTTGTGAGATCGAGGTCTGAACATCAATCTATGTGTATCATGGGCTGTGACTCAAAGTCATATCGGCAAAACATGATGAAATTTTTACTAGCGCCTTGTGTACTGACAGCCAGTACGTGAACAGTGTCGAGGCCGGGATGTGTCTGGTTAGCTGTGTCCTGCCGTGGCCCGTGCGTCTCGGATGGCGCTGACTGGGCCAGTGGAGCGCCGAGGCCGGGTGTGTCAGGTCAGCTGTGTCGGGTGGCGCTGACCGGGCCAGTGGAGCGCCGAGGCGGGGTGTGTCAGGTCAGCTGTGTCGGGTGGTGCTGACTGGGCCGGTGGAGCGCCGAGGCGGGGTGTGTCAGGTCAGCTGTGTCGGGTGGCGCTGACCGGGCCGGTGGAGCGCCGAGGCGGGGTGTGTCAGGTCAGCTGTGTCCTTTCATGACCCTAACGTGTCGATGGCGCTGACTCGGACCGGTGGAGCGCCGAGGCGGGGTGTGCAGTCAGCTGTGTCCCGGTGTGCGACCGGGCCGGTTGAAGCGCCGAGGCCGGGCTGTGTCGGGTGGTGCTGACTGGGCCGGTGGAGCGCCGAGGCGGGGTGTGTCAGGTCAGCTGTGTCGGGTGGCGCTGACCGGGCCGGTGGAGCGCCGAGGCCGGTGTGTGTCAGGTCAGCTGTGTCCTGTCATGACCCGAACGTGTCGGATGGCGCTGACCGGACCGGTGGAGCGCCGAGGCGGGGTGTGTCAGGTCAGCTGTGTCCGGTGGTGCTGACCGGGCCGGTGGAGCGCCGAGGCCGGGTGTGTCAGGTCAGCTGTGTCCGGTGGCGCTGACCGGGCCGGTGGAGCGCCGAGGCCGGTGTGTCAGGTCAGCTGTGTCGGGTGGCGCTGACCGGGCCGGTGGAGCACCGAGGCCGGGTGTGTCAGGTCAGCTGTGTCCAGTGGTGCTGACCGGGTCACGCCCGTCGGCAGGTCCCGAGGCGCGGCCGTTCAGCTGGCAGTCGCACCTGGTGGAGACGCGCTCGCTGCCGGCGCCGGCGCGCCTCTTCCGCGCCCGGCCCGCGCCGCCGCTCCAGCCCGGCATGCGGCTGGAGGCTGTCGACTCGAGGGTGTGTGTTGCGCTGGCGCGACGCCGGGAGTCTGTGGCGCCTGTCCACGGCTCGTTGGTAGACGCGTGCCGACATTTTACACAGCTGTTACCTCGCCGAGCTGCCGTTCCGCCGACTGTATTATGTCCTGATGTGGGTCAGTCATAGACTCGCGGAGGGGGGGGGGGGGGGCAGTCAAGTAGCAGCTTTGTGCACCCGAGCACTTCGTGGCCGCGATCCCACGCGCTGTCGCCGCCTGACCTAGCCCCCGCCTCCGTCCGCCAGGTCCCGGCGCTGGTGCGTGTCATGCACGTGGTGGAGGTGACGCGCCACGGCCTGGTGCGACTCCGGCCGGACGGCTGCGGCGCCGACCGCGACCAGTGGGTGCCGGCCGACGGCGGCGCTCTGTACGCGCCCGGCTGGTGCCACCGCGTCGGCCACCCGCTGACGCCGCCAGTGACGGCCGTGCAGCGGGCCGCCGCCGGCTGCGGCACCGCCCACTGCACGGGGCTCGGCCACGCCGCTGGGCCGCGCTACCGGCGCCACGAGTGCGTTGCCGACTGTCCGTACGTGGAGGACGCCGAGCGGCGTCACCAGGCCGCTGACCGGCTCACCTCCGAACTGCCCGAGGAACCCGACCTCACCAGGTACTGCACGGGCTGGGGAGGCGGACGGCGGGGGCGCGGCGGTCGGTGGTGGTGTGTTGGCTCCGGGGTGGGGAACGGCTGGGCGAAAAGAGTCGGGCGTGCGAGGGGAGGGATTCAACAGAGGGATGCAGGGGTGTAGTGTGGCTCAGAACGTCGTGCTAGAGAATCGAATGGGGACTGTGGAGCCCTGTTGAATGCCAGATTAACTGAAAGACTGGTCGAGTTGGGACCTGATCCGAAAGGCAGGGCTCCCAGCCACTGGTGAGCGGGATATTAGGGTATGTTGTCAAGCGCTCACCAATTGCCCGTGATCAGGCGACGGCAGTATTGTCAGGAGCGCGTTAACGCTTGTCTGAGTGAAGCCGCACCAGCCGGGTGGTGTGGTTGGTCTGGCGGTACCCGGCGTGAGGCGCATGACGGTCGGGCTGGGCGGTACTCGGCGTGAGGTGCCTTACGGTCGGGCCGGGCGGTACCCGGCGTGAGGCGCCTGACGGTCGGGCCGGGCGGTACCCGGCGTGAGGCGCATGACGGTCGGGCCGGGCGGTACCCGGTGTGGGGCGTATGACGGTCGGGCCGGGCGGTACCCGGCGTGAGGCGCCTGACGGTCGGGCCGGGCGGTACCCGGTGTGGGGCGCATGACGGTCGGGCCGGGCGGTACCCGGCGTGAGGCGCCTGACGGTCGGGCCGGGCGGTACCCGGCGTGAGGCGCCTGACGGTCGGTTGGGCTTCGGCAGCCTGGAGAGGCCCGCGCCCCGACAGCGGACCGCCCAGCAGCAGGGGAAGTGTCCACCTGCACCGAGACCTGAGCAGCATCGCCAGCGAAGTCTCTAACTCCGTCTTCGACAGCAAGGACCGACCCGTCCAAGGTTCGTGCGGTCATAGCTTGCCGTGTGGAGGGAGTTGTGGACCATGACCAGGAGCGAAGCCAAGTCGCTGTCTCCTGTATCGGCTGTATGGGTGCTTGGGGCTTTATACTTTACTCCGCTGCTGAGGCTATATGGCGTTGCCTGCCTCCCACCCTGGCAGGAAGGGCGGGAACCGCGGGGATTGAATCCCATACCTCAGGCTTCCCTGTCAGCTGTATGTGACTGCGGCGCGTGTCCCTACGTACAGATACTTGGCTCACGGCGACTGTGAAGGTTCCCAGGCTCCCAGTTCTTCAATATTGCCGCCATAAAGGCGCTGAAAGCTCTGAGCTATTCTTGTCAGCCGATGACGCTCTTCCCGGCGCGCGCTCGTGACGTGCGTCACGTGACCAGCGTCCGATCGTGGGTGGGTTTCCGGCTCCTGACGTTGTCACTGGAAGCCGAGTGGCGGAGCTCCCGTCGCCGTTCACTCGCTCGAGTCCATCACCATGGCGGAGCCGGCGGCCACCCGCGGCACGTGGGACTGGCATGTGCTACGACTGTCGAGACTGGACCGTGCCGGCCCGCCGGTCTGACCTGACCTGACCTGACCTGCTCGTGCCCGGTCGGCCGGCAGATGTGCGCGCCGCATGGCCGCGCTGCCCGCTGCTGCGCCGCGTGGACCGGTTCCTGGCGGAGCACCGTGCCGTCCACCTTTGGGGCGCTAACATGGTGCGCCTGTTCCTGGAGCAGTTCGCGCCGCCGGCCGCCGACGCGCGGCGACTGCAGACGTTTGTGGATGAGGTGGGTTGTGCGCGCCGGTCATCGGCTTCTCTTCAGATGGGCACGCTGTCGACAGAGTTACACGGGCGGGGGAGGGGGGACTGGGGCGATCACGTGGTGGGTTGAAAGCGCCGTTCACCGGCTCCTCTTCAGGTGGGCGAGGGGTAGGGGGCGCTATCGAAAGAGTTTCACGGGTGTGGGGGGAGGGACAGGGCGGAGGGCATCATGCCATTTCTGCGCCTGTTTTTTCGTTACCGTGATTTGTATGAAAATGTGTATGTTACGTATGGTATAAGGCGTACCTGGAGTAGTTATGTGCGTGAAATTATCGTGTTTTGTGTGCATGATGGGGTTCACTTACCCAAACGTAGCCGCCACGGTGTCACCAGTCGTGCTCAGCTCGAATGGCCTGCTGGTAGCTGTTGCGTAAGTGTCGACGGTCGGCGGTCGGTGGTCGAAAGCGAGAGTGACGGCCCTCTTGACAGTTAGGCCCAGATGCCCTTTGCTGTGACTTGGCGGGCAGCTGCTGATAACATCGCATATCAGAATTCGGCCGGAAAACAAGCTTTGCTATGGCAACCGAGCGTTGGAATGGCCTGGTTCGACGGCACTGGACGTTACGTGTATGTGCGATCGTTCGGCGCCAGCATCCAGCTGCGACACGAACAGCTCAAGCGGCGCCTCTCTCGCGTGTGACTGCCAAGCCGGGTGTGCTCAGAACTGCCCTGAAGTCGACATCATGGCCCGTGCCGCGCGCTCGGCTTATCAGGCAGCTAGCCGGTACATTGTCGCCAGGCACGGCTGTCTTGGGTGTTGACCTGATGGCGCACTGTCCGCTGGCCGATGATGGGGAGGCCTTATAGCCATGCTGTGGCTATAGCCATGCTGTGGTATTCGCCGTCGTTTTGAACTGGACTGGAAGGAACATGGAGCAGCATTTGTGCGGCACGGGCACGGCAGTCTCGCCACACCCGCCAGCCCCGCCAGCCCCGCCAGCCCCGCCAGCCTCGCCAACCTCGCCTGCCCCGCCTGCCCCGCCTGCCCCGCCAGCCCCGCCAGCCCCGCCTGCCCCGCCTGCCCCGCCTGCCCCGCCAACCCCGCCTGCCCCGCCAGCCTCGCCAGTCCCGCCAGCCTGCCTGCCCCCGCCTGCCCCGCCAACCCCGCCTGCCCCGCCACGCCCGCCACCCCCGCCAGCCCCGCCAGTCCCGCCTGCCCTGCCAGCCTCGCCAGCCCCGCCAGTCGCGCCAGCCTCGCCTGCCCCGCCAGTCCCGCCAGCCTCGCCAGTCCCGCCAGCCTCGCCAGCCCCGCCAGCCCCACCAACCCCGCCAATCCCACCAGCCCCGCAAGCCCCGCCAGCCTCGCCAGCCCCGCCAGCCCCGCCAGTTCCGCCAGGTCTTCATGAGGATTGCTGAAGTCATCTAAACAGTTGCTCGCTGCCGTGTTTGCCGCATCCCGCCTTAGCCGCTCTGGGTGTTAACGTTTGTGCCCCGGAATGGGAGCAGTTTCCCATCGGTGGGGGAAGGTGGGGTGGGGTTGGAGGGCAACGGCCCTGTTGCTGGTACTGAGCGGTGCCAGTGGTGAGGCTGGATGGCACCTGGTCGCCGTCGATGCCGTCTGGGAGTCTGCAGACGGAGGCTGGGCACATCCATGAGGGTGAAGACCGTATCCCCACACGAGGTGGAAACGGGGCGGCTCTTCAACGAACCGCGAGGATCGTACACTCGTGTGAAGAATCGCCCCATTCCAACACTGATTCGCCGGTCTCGAAATGGATGCAATCGCGGAGGCGTACCTCGTGTGCCGTGGACCCAGCACGGGCGTACTGTATGGGCCGGGTGCGGTGTGCTCCTTCCCGCCCGCGATTTGTGGTGTCTGACTCCGTGACCTCTGACCTGCGGAGGTGCTGTATGATCCGGGTGCTGTATTCCCTGTCTTGCTTGTGACCCGTGGCCTCTGACCCGCGTCTGTCCTCCGCATGCCAGGAAATTGACGGCGAGTCGCTGCTGCTGCTGACCCGCGATGATCTGCGCTCGCTGCTCAAGCTCAGTCTCGGCACCGCCATCAAGTTGCACGGCTGCATCGTACGCATGCGCAAGCACTTCAACTACCGCGGCCAGAAGGCTAACGCCAACGGCGCAACGCTGTGAGGCGGCCGCGGCGGCCGCTGCTGAGCTCGGAACGGAACGTTAGCTCAGAGAGGGAGGTGGTTCCCACCCGCAGTGGCGACGGCCGCTGCGGAGCTCAGAACGCAACGTTGGCTCAGAGAGGGAGGTGGTTCCCACCCGCTGCGGCGGCGGCCGCTACTGGGCCTAGAACGGAACGTTGGCTCAGAGAGGGAGGTGGTTCCCACCCGCTGCGGCGGCGGCCGCCACTGAGCCCAGAACGGAACGTTGGCTCAAAGAGGGAGGTGGTTCCCACCCGCCGCGGAGGCCGGCAACCCAGAGCTTTCATGTGTCGCTGTGGGCGGCCTGGGCCGTCGTGTTGAATGGGCGGCTGCTGGACGCCGGCCGGACGCCGCCTGTTGAGGGGACACCCGCGGTGTCCGGCGCGGGGTAGGTGTCAGGCCGCTCCCCGGTCTCAACGTCATTTGTCGCATGCGAACTCGCCTACAGTGCATACCATTGGATGTGTGTGTCTACCGAAGTCTTTTTATATAGCGGCTTGCGGAGTTTGATGTATTGGCTGTCGTGCTCTGGAATGTGGTGACGAGAATCACGCATGGTCCGTTGAACTGGCATATGTTTTGGCCGGGAGTTCAGCGTCAAGACTTGGAAGGAAGGAAAACGGAATCGCGTAGTGAGCGCGAAGCCTAGCTGTGGCTTTTAATCAAAGATGCCGTAGTTTTCCAACAGTTTCGTGGTACAAGCCAACACGGTCGCTGCCGCGCAGGGACGCGTCACGTCGGCTATCGTGGGCCAACCAGAGAGAGCTCGTGTCTCGAACCCACGACCACTGAGTTGCGGGAACGCGTCTACCTCAGGGTTGGGTACTCACAACGCGAAGACGAAATTTGCCTCATTAATGCTATTTGCGAATAGCCTGTGGTCCGCACCGAGGTGTGGTCCCTGCATCCATTTCGAAATGACAGCAGACGAAGGATTTCCAGTGAGTTCAGTGCCACAGCAAGGGGGGATACGACAGGCGACCGTGGTACGACGCTGCATGGAATGATATATGTCCGTCAGTAATACCACTCAGGAGGTATGATGTATGTCCGTCAGTAATGACAGTCAGGAGGTATGATATATGTCTGTCAGTAATGCCACTCAGGAGGTATGATATATGTCTGTCAGCAATACCACTCAAGAGGTATGATATATATCCGTCAGTAATACCACTCAGGAGTTATGACATGTGTCCGTCAGTAGTCCCACTCAGGAGGTATGATACACGTCCGTCTGTAATGCCACTCAGGAGGTATGATATATGTCTGTCAGTAATACCACTCAGGAGTTATGACATATGCCCGTCAGTACTACCACTCAGGAGTTATGACATGTGTCCGTCAGTAGTACCACTCAGGAGGTATGATACACGTCCGTCTGTAATGCCACTCAGGAGGTATGATATATGTCTGTCAGTAATACCACTCAGGAGGTATGATATATGCGTCAGTAATACCACTCAGGAGGTATGATATATGTCCGTCAGTAATACCACTCAGGAGTTATGACATATGCCCGTCAGTACTACCACTCAAGAGGTATGATACACGTCCATCTGTAATGCCACTCAGGAGGTATGATATATGTCTGTCAGTAATACCACTTAGGAGGTATGATATATATCCGTCAGTAATACCACTCAGGAGTTATGACATATGTCCGTCAGTAGTACCACTCAGGAGGTATGATACACGTCCGTCTGTAATGCCACTCAGGAGGTATGATACACGTCCGTCTGTGATGCCACTCAGGAGGTATGATATATATCCGTCAGTAATACCACTCAGGAGTTATGACATGTGTCCGTCAGTAGTACCACTCAGGAGGTATGATACACGTCCGCTCTTTAAACCATCAGTATGTATGATATGTCTCAGTAACCATCAGGAGGTATGATATATATCCGTCAGTAATACCACTCAGGAGTTATGACATGTGTCCGTCAGTAGTACCACTCAGGAGGTATGATACACGTCCGTCTGTAATGCCGCTCAGGAGGTATGATATATGTCTGTCAGTAATACCACTCAGGAGGTATGATATATGCGTCAGTAATACCACTCAGGAGGTATGATATATGTCCGTCAGTAATACCACTCAGGAGGTATGATATATGTCCGTCAGTAATACCACTCAGGAAGTATGACATATGTCCGTCTGTAATACCACTCCGAAGGTCAGGAAGGCTTCCCCGATAGCGCAGAGTGCTGGCTATTGTCTTGCGAGGCAAGTGTACTTTGGAGCTGTCCATAAAGCATGTCGCGCATTTTTGTCATTTTTCAACTCCTCTGGTTACGGTCTTGTTACGCTGAGCAAACCTGCCACCGCCCCCCCCCGCCCCCTGGTTACGCTGTAACGTCATAACGTTTACGCCAAATGGATGGGCTGTTTTACCCCTAATTGAGCTCCGACGCTAGCTAAATCACGAGCGTATTCCGTCATTGGTGAAACCCAGAGGTTCTCGACATTCAGATTTTGGTTTGCTTTTTAAAGATTTTGGCACAATTTGCGGGCGTACCTGAGCATAATTTTACGCTCTCCAGAGCAAGCTTGCCTAAAACCAATTTGGAATCGATTGTTGTGATGCGTCGACGTCGTAGAGTTAATGCTCAGTATCCTGGGAAAGTGGGGTGTCGTGACACCCAAGGACGGGGTGCCATGCCATGGCACCCCTATTATCACGCCTTTGCTCTCTTGTTACCGTTTTGTTGCGCTTCAAATAAGCCCTTGCGCGTCATGTGCAGCGTAACTCATGGAAGGCCACACAGGCAACCAACAGACCACCGTCACAGGTAAACCATAGGCAGCCAACAGAGTACCGTTACAGGTAATCCACCGGCAACCAACAGACTACCGTCACAGGTAACCCACAGGCAGCCAACAGACTGCCGTCACAGGTAACGCATAGGCAACCAACAGACTACCGTCACAGGTAACCCACAGGCAACCAACAAACTACCGTCATGGCAACCCACAGGCAACCAACAGACTACCGTCAGCGGGTTCTTCGAACTGATCTGCACTTGTGCCACTAGCTCGTGTGCCCTAACTTGTCTTTTCGAAAGGCCTGTTTGGTACCGGCCGATGGTTTGCAGAGTTCAGATCACGACACTCCGCGCTGAGCCCACGTCGTCTCGTGTACACCGCCACCGCCAAAGCACCGAGGAGCTCTCAACGACATGCCTCGCCTCGTGAACACTGCCACCGCCACCGAGGAGTTTGCAACGACGGAATAATTTCGTGACGTTTTATCACCCTATAAAGTGCTGATTGTTTTGAGAAGCTCCGCTGAAGGTGGGGGCGCGGCCGCCCGTAGCGAAAATTTGCACTCGAAGCGTCGAGAAAATGCAACGCCTTGGATGGGGATCGAACCGGTGTCTATCGATCTTAAGTGACTGCTTGGACTGACAATGCTGGTTTTGTTTTGTGTGCATGGTGACACTATTCTTCGTGCTGCATGGTGCGCTGTTACACGCGGTCTCTACTCTATGGACAACACGGCATGGATCTGTCACTATGCCACTGAAACCTTTGGCAATGTATCCGTTTGCCTCCGAGATGTTCTGTTCCTTTACTATCTTGTCTCCATACCCAGATTTTATTGTGGTCATCGTCCATAAAAATATCAGTCAGGCATGTTTCGTCCCACAAGCATCAATGGTGTCTCGACCGTTACATTACTGAGCACAGTTATCAAGATCTCAACGGTTACGGTAACATTTTTAACGACGTCGTGAAGCAGCACGATTTTGGCATTCAGAGATACGGCCTGGCACGGTGGCGACTTGATTGGCCGTCCCGTTGCATCCGTCGGCCGCTGGCACAGCAAAGATCAAAGCTGTACTGCAAAGCAGACCACTATCAGGCACCTTTGTCCGCCTGCTCCCAATCCCGGAACGCCGACTCCTGGTTGAACCCCAGGTCCTCCATAAGGCCCAGGCGGACCCCCGGGTCCTCCAAAGGGTCCAGGCTGACCTCTAGGCCCTCCATAGAGTAGTCCAGGCCGACCTCCAGGTCTTCCAACGGCTCCAGGCTGAACTCCAGGTACTACACCTGCTCCAGGCTGGCCTCCAGGTCCAACACCAACTCCAGGCTGGCCTCCAGGTCCAACACCGACTCCAGGCTGGCCTCCAGGTCCAAACCAGCCACCGGCCCCAGGCTGACCTCCAGGTCCTATACCGACTCCAGGCTGGCCTCCAGGTCCAACACCGACTCCAGGCTGGCCTCCAGGTCCAAACCAGCCACCGGCCCCAGGCTGACCTCCAGGTCCTATACCGACTCCAGGCTGGCCGCCAGGTCCAACACCGACTCCAGGCTGGCCTACAGGTCCAACACCGACTCCAGGACGACCTCCAGGTCTTACACCGACTCCAGGCTGGCCTCCGGGTCCAACACCAACTCCAGGCTGGCCTCCAGGTCCAACACCAATTCCAGGCTGGCCTCCAGGTCCTACACCGACTCCAGGCTGGCCCCCAGGTCCAACACCAACGCCAGGCCGACCTCCAGGTCCAACACCGACTCCAGGCTGACCTCCAGGTCCAAACCAGTCACCGGCTCCAGGCTGGCCACCAGGTCCTACACCGACTCCAGGCTGGCCTCCAGGTCCTACCCCGACTCCAGGCTGACCTCCAGGTCCAACACCGACTCCAGGCTGACCTCCAGGCCCAAACCAGTCACCGGCTCCAGGCTGGCCACCAGGTCCTACACCGACCCCAGGCTGGCCTCCAGGTCCTACCCCGACTCCAGGCTGACCTCCAGGTCCAACACCGACTCCAGGCTGACCTCCAGGCCCAAACCAGTCACCGGCTCCAGGCTGGCCTCCAGGTCCTACACCGACTCCGGGCTGACCTCCAGGTCCCACACCGACTCCAGGCTGGCCTCCAGGTCCCACACCGACTCCGGGCTGGCCTCCCGCACCATCTGGCGCCCAGGCTCCGCCGCGGCCGTCGCCGGCGGGCTGCCAGCGGGGCACAGTGGCGGCAGCTCCGCCCGCCGGCAGGCCCCTTAACATGCTGCCGAGGTCCATGGCTCTCCCCTGGCCGGGCGCACCGGCTGAGGCGCCGCCGCCTGCCTGCCTGCCGGCCACGAAGGCCGTGGTCTGCTGCGGGCCGTAGCCGCCGCGGGCGCCGCCACCGGTTCCGACGCACCCAGCGCAGTCGCCGGACGCGGAGAAAGCCTGGCCGACACCGGCACCATGACGCCCGCCTGCGGGACGGAGGCGAACGGTCAGGGCGGCGGCGTTGCGACGCCCGCCTGGGGGGCAGGGTTGAACGGTCAGGGCGGCGGCGCTGCGACGCCCGCCTGCGGGACGGAGGCGAACGGTCAGGGCGGCGGCGCTGGGACGCCCGCCTGGGGGACTGCGAACGGTCAGGGCGTCGCTGGACGCCCGCCTGGGGACGGAGGCGAACGGTCAGGGCGGCGGCGCTGGACGCCCGCCTGGGGGACGGAGGCGAACGGTCAGGGCGGCGGCGCTGGGACGCCCGCCTGGGGGACGGAGGCGAACGGTCAGGGCGGCGGCGCTGCGACGCCCGCCTGCGGAACAGGGGCGAATGGTCAGGATGGCGGGCGGTTGGCGGCGGCGCGACGTGGTGGACGTCTCACGTGGCGGGTAGCTCAAGCCTGCACCAGATTGCGACAAACGGCGAAAAAGCGGGCAATCACTGATAAGAAGCCAATTAATCACGTGATCACAGACAATGCTCCAGCGTGCAGGTCCTCCGCCGTGCTTTGGCCTATCGAGGCTTACTGCCTTCCAGACAAACTCGTCGCTGACGGGGCCGGTCCTGTCTGCTGGTGCAACAGCCGTGGTGCTTGCATCGGCAGTCAAATTTCCGCCGAGGGAAGGTGCCGGTCGCTGAGAGCGGAGCGCGAATCTAGTCGACAGTGCGGCGCGAGCGCCAGGGTGGACATTGGGATACGTACTGACTTGGCTGGCGGTGCGCATGGGAACGGCCATGGCCCGACCAAAGCCGGTGCCTTGACCGAAATGGCTCCAGGACGACTGCGAGTAGCCGGTCCAGCCGGCAGCGCGCCGCTTCCTCGCTGCGGGAGCGCACGGACGTGGTCAGGCCCAGGTTGGGGTCTGTCGCACACGTCGCTTCCAATACGAGCATGACGCGCTGGCGCCGGTCGAGGCTCATTGGCCGTGTGTGAAGCAGATGTGCACTGCTATTCTATGCGTTGTTGACGTGTTCTTACGAGCTCGCGGTTATCTACCGTTGACAGTAAAGAAACAGAACCGGAGCTGCTTTGTCGGACACAGCCTCCAAATGAGTATGAAGGCCTCCTCCCATCCTAGATGTGTAGGACTACCTGCCGATTCTACGCTTAATATGCTCCTAGGATAATTCTCGACGTGAATGCAAAATAAGAACTCCTCTGAACATTCTGCAAACACCGCGCATAAACGGACAGGATACCGCCTACAGCTTGAAGCCCACTGGGGCGAACAGGCGCCCGCTGCTCATGTTGGGGACCAGCTGACCAATAGCGAGCGAGAGCGATAGAGACTGGCGAAAACGACTAGCGAGGGCGGATAGCGATAGTGACTGGTAAGAGCGACTAGCGAGGGCGACCGCTGACCATGGTAGCCTTGCGTGCCAGCTGGTTGCAGCACAGCCAGACTGATGTCGCCGGTGAAGGGCGGAGGGGACGTCCTCGGACAGCCAGGAGATGGTCCTCCTGTTGCAGAACTGCAGCATCCGCTCGCCAAGCTGCCGCTTCGTCTGACAGGCGTGACGCGGGGAGGAGTCGGTGCCACGTTCAGGCGCGATGACGCTTAAGGCGGGCCGTGCTCCTTAATGCGAACCAGCCGCCGCATTCAGTCGTTATGTTTCGTACTTTTGAAGGGACTTAAGAGCCATGTAGACTGCCGCATTATTGCCGATGTCTAGCGAACAAGGCTGTAAAACACGACCCATTCTGGATTTCTGCTTGCAACGTGCACGTTTCAGTGGCATCCGTTGCTCATTTATATGACAAGCAGTTGTAGTGTGGCACAACATTTTCACAAAATGGTGCGCCAGATGATAGTTAACTTGGTCACGCGCAAACAGGGGTCCCATACACCGCGAGCTCTCATGTTTGCGAACCCTATAGATCCAAGGCGATTTCTCCCGGTTCTCCGTTGGTATAGGTTGATATTACCTCAGGCTCTGCGGAATCTACGGTCCATGTGAAGAGGGTCCGCGGACGCGGGGCGGACGCCTGTTGTCTGATGGCCTCCAGGCGATCCTCAGCATCGACGAACGCCTCGGAGAGCGGCTCCAGTGTGCAGCCACCGTCGTCACCGTTAAGATGGGCCGCCACCCTCTGTGGCATGCACGAAGCTGAATCAGCGCCCGGCCAACCACGCCTCCCTTCAGGCAAACGCTGTGATTCTCTTTGAAATGTGAGCTTTGTAGACAGCCAAAAATGAATTCAGTCGAAATGAGCAATAATAATTTGGAAATTTGGGCTTTGAAATGAATTTGTTTCCTGTAAATAGAGATCAAGTGCTATGCGATTTTTGATGGAAGCATTTGAATTAAAAAATTATGAACAGTGACGCAAATTGATTTCTTTTAAGACAGGTGTAGACACCAAAGGCACACAACTACCTTAACATTGAGTAACTTGTGGGCCTCGCAAAGTTACAATGTGTGTTGCGCTTCAATGTGAGCAGCAGAAAATTGCATTACCTTGACGTCAACAGTCGTGTGACCGAGCCTGTCATGTGTGAGGTGGTGGTTCCTAAACCCCGATACGTGGAGATGCGGCACTGGTGGCGCGCTTTTCACCCGCGAACCGTACTGTGCTGTCGCTCCATTCATTATCGAGCCTTTCCAGGAAGGCGTGCTGGTGTCTGGTTGGCCCTCGGACGCCCATGTCTGCTGATGCTGTACCGCAGCGCCAATGTTGACGTCACGCCGCGAGCCCGTGCTGTGCGGGCGGCGGGTCTCACATCTCACCTGCCTCAGGTCGTACAGGCTAACGTGGCCGGAGCCGGCCGACACCAGCGCCAGCTGTTGTGCCTCGTCCAGCAGAACCCTGGCCTGGATTGGCGCTCCGAGGCCACCGTCCAGGGTCACCGGGTGGAACTGGAAGCAGGCGGCGGTCAGCTGCTGGGGCGGACGGGGGTTAGCGCCGACGGAGCAGGAGGGAGGGTGCCTGAGCCGGGCGCGCGGTCCGGGGCCCACAGCTGAAGCGGAGTGACGCCGATTGGTGAGATCTAAGCTTACTGGCCGGCAGGAGAGCGGATGAGCACGGTAGCAGCAGTGAACAAGGCTGCATTCACGACATGCGTGGATGGAATGCGAAGAGCTTGTCGGGATCGGTGCTGAATGGAAACTAAGACCGAGCGCTCCGTACCGAGAACACCGGGTGTGCAGTGGATATGACATGGTGGGGTACGTGTCCATGGCTCCTGTGAAGATCAGCTGGAGTTTGGTTTGATACCGGGAAATAATTTGGCCCAAGCGACTGCCCATAGTGTGGGCTAGCACTTTGGGAAAAAAACTCAAGAAACCCACTCAAGCAATGAACAGAATATGCACAGAATTTCGCTGATTTAAGCTCCCTGTTGATTATTGTGTGCGGTGACTGCAAACTTTGGAGGAAAAACGATTAAGAACAGTTCGTGAGGCTACGACCGCGCAGCTGCATGTAAACTTCACGCCTACTAGAAAGGAAAGAAGACCAACAAAACATCACTTAAATTACTCATCAAATGCGTAGTAAGTTGTAGGATATCCAACTGATCATCAGCCATTTGTCTCTCTGCCAGGGGCTTTTTCACTACGCCCCTGCACTGTCGAGCCCTTTGGCTTTGGCCCCCATGCTATGACTAGCGCGTTATATGTGCCGAAAGAGCGATAATGCAACTTTCGTGATGGCAGTGCTTTGTTTCATAACAATATGACCGAGGAAATGGCAATAATGCAGTATTCAGAAATTGCTGCTGATTCTCTTTTCTTGGAGCAGGATGCTCTGCTCAGTCTGAGTAAACAGTTAGAAATGTGAGGCAGGCCCGTTCCCTTTGACAGAAAGTGTCTTACCTTGGGCAAGATCAAAGTAAGACATTTTCTCATTTATTACGCATAAATTTGCTTCTTCCGTTGGCCATATTTCTCAGAGCTGTTGGCGCCTCCATTTCCCTACCACTTCCCCTAGTTGGCAGAATTCCAGAGTTACTGGACGCGCCGGGCTCACACTGCGAGCAGGCCTGTGGCCGGCAGCACGCCGGCCGCCGCGCGTGGTGACGTAAGCCAGCGCCGTATCGCGTTGCATCGGTGGGTGCGGGGGAGGCGCAAGCCTGGTCCGTGACAAGATTAGACCCAGACACTGTAACGGCAGCAGCTAAACAGCCGGCGACGTTACCAGACGGTGATGCCATGGACCGTCTGGGCTGCGCCTCGCAAGATAATATGCCGGTAAACAGCGGCGACGTGCAACTATGCCAATAATTCGAACATTGCTGGTTAGCTCAACATTCACGGCACCAAACAAGCTGGTGGCACAACAGCTCGTTGGTGACATCGTGGCTCGGAAATTTGAGCCGAACATCTATCCTGCCTCGATGGGATTTTAGAAGGAAAGGTGAGTGACCAGCGAGGACACACTTTTAGCTGAGCTGGATGCGCCCCTGCAAGAGAACTCGACGACACTCGAACAATACAAAACAACATGCTGGACTGGGCGCGCACATGCAGATACTCGGGTAGTTAACGGCTTTCTCCAAGAATCTGATTTTGACAGCTTCGCTCGGAGGGGGGGGGGAGTATCTCTCGTACTCATCGGGGGAGGGCACTGCGTTTTGTACAGATAAGCTTGTTTTGCATGACCCCAAATTTTCAGCCTTCCATGTTATTAGCCGCGATCACGTCTCCGCGGTAGCATGCTGGCAACCAGCTCTCACCGATATGTACTTGGAAATGAGCACTTTTTTTGTTGGTCAATCGGCGCGAGAACATAAGTGCTGATATATCACGTCATTGACTGGTTATGGAAGCAATGTAACCTTCAGACAAACCCGGACCTTTAGAAGAGATATTAGAGGTCAAGGTCACACCCGGTCAAATTCTAAACGCGCGTGTAATTATCTTAAGAGATGAGAGAGAGAAGAGGAGAAGAGAGAGAGAGGAGAGAGAAGAGAATAGAGAGAGAGAGAGAGAGAGAGAGGGAGAGAGAGAGAAGAGAAGAGGAGAGAGAGAGAAGAGAGA